ATGTAAAAATTAATGATGATATCTTTGTTAAAATGTGTGGATGAGTCACACGCGGATTTCAGTCTCCCGCTTATTGAGTAAAGTTATTGAGTTTGAACCAATCAAATCTTGCTTACTTTCTTGAAATCTGATAAGGGGCATTGAAATCCCAAAGCGTATTTTGACTAGTAATTGTTGTTTAGGAATCATTATTTAAGAGTTGTCGTTAATCTGAAAAACAAGTACAAATTCTGATTAGATCATTGTCTCCACGGATAACGTATTAAAACCCAAAAATAATTTGCGATCCCGATTCTCTGTGAAACTCAGGGAAATTTTGAAATGGCGAAAAATGACCTAGACGATCGTGTCGTCTGGATACCTTGAGATGGACAACGAGGTGGCATCCTCAAACAGATTCATTTATTAAGTACAAGTTCACCAGTTATGCAGGATAGGATTTAAATAAGACATTACGATTCAATACTTTTCGGATGCAAAAAAAACATTTTTGGATTATCCCTTGTCGGCCTACGTACTTCCACGTGCGTGATAAAAATATGTTCTATGCAACTGTCAACTTCAATGTTTTGACGGAAAACTTAGAAGTTTTTACTAAAAGGTCTACAACTGACTGAAAGAATATCAACAAACAAATTATCCCGGAAACTGAGATTTGAGTGTTTGGTAATATTGTGTTCCTTGTTGTTACCGGTATCTATCGAGCTCTGCGAGATCTTACTCAGGAACGCCAAACTTGAAAGGCCCTTGAAATATCTGCCTTTGTTTGTTGGCCCCACCATTCACACCATTCCTGTCCACCATCAACATGAGTGAGGACCGTCTCAAATGGTAGGGATGCAATCGACGTTAACTTGAACGCGTCTCCCACTGGTCTTGCAAATATGAGCCAATTCCCCGCCTTTTCCCACCATTTTCATGAAGACTCAACTCGAGCACTTGGAAAATGGCGACGTCCACTCCAAACAGCGATATGAGAAGATTACTAGATTAATCAGTTGGTGTTGGAAATGACGTTATTCATAACTTTGAAGCGCACGACATTACCGCAGAAATAGTTCCTACCCTATCTGACGCACAACTGATTCAACTTGGCTTAAAAAGGTTAGAAAAGCGGCAACTAGTTCGTTCTCTTTGCAGAAATTCCAGCACAAGAAATGGTAAGCTTTCACTTTTTAGTTTGAGGCTTAGTCAATAAACGCAACTAAATGCTACTTCTTGGTTATGTCAGAATATAAGACCTCTCTATGAAGACATATATTTTGGTATTGTGTAAGATCCATGTTACACTTTGATGCAAACCGCAACAGTGATACGAAGTCCTGGATTACATTAATGGGAACAAAATCTGGTCAAAACTTTCAAAATTTCTTTTTTTTCTTCCTCTTTAGTTAGAAGTATTATCTAAGTTTGGTTTGTCGAGATAAAAATAAAAAATCTTTAATTGAATGTGGAATCCGACTGAATCCAAATAGTTTGCTGAAACCGAATAGTTAAAGGTGTGATAATCCGGAATTCTCCAGCAGAGTGTTGAGGTTTTTTCGCGGACTTTCGTCCGCGATCTTTATTTGCATTTTCCTTTACATCACAAATTGCAACTCACAGTAGAAGTAAATTTGTTGCATATCCCAAAACAGTGAGAAGTAGGAATCTTCATGAAATGGGCAAAAAGACAAGTGGTTGTGTGGGAAATCTCTGAAACAGGCCGGACTACAGAAATTTTAGGCAGAAGATTTTGATGAAGCGAAAAAGTCTGACCTTGCTCTTTGCTTCTTCGGATGATTTGTTTTGGATTTGTTAAACCCATTTGTTGACCTCGGGCGGTCGCGAGATGACCTTTCCCGCGAAAGGATTCGGACCCTTGTGTTTGCGCAAAGATTTCTGGAATCGCCACGGGACAAACATTGCAACTTGTTAGGAGGAAATATTTGGCGAAAGGTTGTTCGACGTCCAAATAAAGGATTTTGGAGAGAGGTCAACGCTTTTCGCCGTAGTTTTATCATAAATGGATTAAGATAATGTTGATGCGAAGGAAGAGCAAGTTTTGTTATAATTACCACGAAATATGTTATAAAATATACCGATTCACTTCTCTCCTTGCGCAAGGTCTATAATGTAATTGTGAAATCGCTACCCCGTAATGGTCTCGACATAATACAAAATTAGCCTTAAATCGCACTCACTTATGTCTTTTCAGCTGTTTTTTTTGTATGTACAGCCTGTTTTTATACTTGTTAACGTTTTAAATAAACATTATGGTGTCTGAAAATATACCTCCTCAAAGGAGAGAAGTCGTCGTCGATGAAATAGGCGATGAAAAACAAAAGGAAATCCCTAGAAAAAAATCCGAAGGTTTTTGAGCTGCCAATTACTTCTCAAACTCCTGGAAGGATCTTGTCAGGAAAAGCAAGCACTCCGGAAGAAAATATGGCCATATATATATTCAGTTGTGCATCGCTCCTTAAGCGACCCATTTGTACCTACTCATCGTCGCATAAGAAAGGATATAGTTTTGAGCCGATTCGCGACGCTGGTTCGTTCTCATTGATCACAAAAAAGAGGCAATGTAGGTGTTTAATCCTATAATATATCCCAATAATATTCAATGCTCAAGCACACAATTTGCTTGACCAAGCCAAGAGAAAAGCTAGATATAGACTTAACACAAGTAAATAAAACTGAAAAGGCTTTATTGAGTTATTCCTTGGCGATTTAAAACTAATATTATTAAAGTTTGAGATCATTACGCGATGTCAACTTCACTAAACCCTTTCGCATGGAAAAAATTAATCGCGAGATTTCACTACATATTTCACGGTTGTTCAAACAAAACCTTACGCTACCCCTTCATCAATACTACCCACACCTATCTCTGATAAAACAGCAGCGAAAAAGCGATGATCTCTCACCAAAATCGTTTTTTTAGACGTCGAAACAACCTTTCACCATACATTTCTTTCTAGCGAGTTGCAATGTTTGCCCCGAGACGATCACAGAAATCTTTGCGCAAACAAAAGGATTCGATTCAACTCTTTCATTTCAATGGAACCCTTTGTCACGAAAATCACCAGCTTTTTGGTTTCGAAGTAAACAGCTAAAACACAGAGTCGAGGTAAAAATCATATGTGCAACAGCTAACATATAACTATTCTCTTGGTCTTTTACTACAAAAGGATCAATTTTTTGATGAATTTAGAAACACGCATGTTACTTGATGAGTGCCTATTGTCGAATGACAACAAACTTGATCAAACGAAACAACAGATGACCGCGAAAAAGAATTTTTAATTTAGCGCAAATTGTTGTTAATGGATAAGCTTCTTAGAAACTTGACCTGAGCAGTTCATCCTTTTCGGCGCACTCTGTCGGTGAATTTAAAAAAAAAATTCAGACTTAACCCCTTTACTCCCACAAGTGATCAAGACAGAATTTCTCCTTACAATTTCAATACTATATCAAGCAGTTAGGGTGATGGGAATCAAGAATGTTATCAATAATGGGATTATTAGTTGACCCAATACCAAATTCTCCGAACTAATATCATAACAATTGTATGGCAGGCATTAAGGAGAATTACCAATAAGATCTTGGGAGTGAAAGGGTTAAGTTTCCGTGCGCCTCACTTCCAGAGTTCCGCGCGACGCGCTAACATCAATTTTTTTTTCCACTGACCTTTATTGACCCGCGTGACGGACTTCGCCGAAAAGGAGACTACCCGTGGTCTACTTACAAACATGCACGGTAGACAGAAAAGTATTCCCTCGATGGGAGAAGTTAAATCTACATCCTCTTAGAAAATTGTGTCAGTAGGAAAGTTCTCGAGTCTGATTGGTCCTTAGCAGCGTTTATTTATCACTTTTTGTAACTAGGGAGTGACCGAACCGTACAACTTTATCTGTTTGATTAGCAGGACCTTTTCACTGGACCAGTCGAAACGGACAGTTAAACAACCGATGGAAACTAAGCCGCTAAATTTTATTGGTATATACTAAAACAGTGGTAAGCGTTAAAGGCGCGCTTTGATTGGCTACTCAAACTCCGAATATCCTTTGCTATTCACCTCCGAGCAACGGCCACGGAATTTGCACCCGAAAAGATGGTAATCGTTGCAGGAATAAATGAGCTAAAATCATATTTTTCTGCTTTATTATCTCACCGTTTTAGTATATACTAAAACTATTATTCACCTCAGTGTCGATGTCTAGCGATGGTGGTATAACCCACAATTAGCCACATCCATCTGAATAGCTGTTAACTAGCCAATGAAATTCAAATCTCATACATATTCTAACCAATGAAAATCAAGGAAAATCTATCGGGAGTAAGTTGCTCAGGTTAAGTTTGAAGACAAGAAAAATGGATGAAATTAACTTTAGGTTGATGCCTGTTCTGACATTAAATATTTTCTGGCTGAGTTTCTTGCATCTGGAAATTAGAGTCATACAAATCAGGGCGAACTAAGCCTGATTATTTGCACGATTACTCCCTGAATTGTGCTCCATAAACTTCGCAATTCGAAACAAATAAATAGCAGGAAACTGCAATATTTTAAAATCCTTATGGGGTTAGTATAAGTATTGAAAGGCTTCTTAGCAATGACTGAAGTAATTTTCTTCTGACGTATCACAATATACTTTCATTTTGTGGGATAAGTCGATGCCTATACCGAAACACAATAAACACGACAGAAATAAACCCAACTATAAAAATCGTTCGTAACGATGATAAAAGAAGGCAAACACTTGATTTATTACTCCAATGAATTTATAAAATTTCCTTGCAACACTGATGAGACACTAGTTGGCCTCAGATCTATTTACATAGGGCCGGGGTAATTTTCTGAAGAAACTGCGGCGCTGAGTCGGTGGAAGAGTATAACATAGTAATTTAGTATTATCAATTGAGTTGATAATACTACATTACCTTTTTAATCACATGCTTCAGTCTGTTTGCCAAGACCCAAGAGTTTTACCTCGAGTTTCGGTTTTGAGAATATGCAATTAACGAGGAATTGATCCTCGTTTGTCCATCACGACACTCTTTTTACTCACTGTGTTCTTCGTGATCTTGTGTTCAGGGCCCAAAATATCCTTTTGAATTACAAAGGCCTCATTGAGCTCCTCTAAAGCCTCATCGAATTGTCCTTGAAGGAATAAGACATCGCTAAGCTGTACGCACGAACGAGCTGTATCCTGATGGTGACCCAACAGCCTCTTTCGTAGCCCTTGAGCTTCCCTGAAGTACATCTCAGCCTGGTTGATGTCACCTCGCTCAGGGCTTCCAGTCGCAAGGGCCTTGTACGTCGAGTCAGCGATAAAGGACAAAATTGAAGCTGTCCAGGGGTGGTCACCAAGCTGCTCTTGGTAAACAGGCAGAGTGTTCTTTTTCCAAATGTCGATTGCTTCTTGATGATCTCCACACAGTCGATAAGAATCTGAGAAAGTGTTAGGACAAGATATAGGTTTTACATAGTTTAATGAATCCTTACCGCGTTTTAAGAAGAAGCAACTGATATGAATAAAGAGACGGACCCCTGATTCAAAGCAGGTACGCATCGAGGGTGATTTTGTCAAAGAATATAAAGCTTGTAAGCCGTACACTTTAAAAGGGCTATTTCCCAAGTGGAATCCCTCCCCATATCACAAATCAACTCATTGTAAGACTAACCAAGGAACATCAACTCTTTAAATCACAGGTTCCTAACTTCGAATTTTTCCTTGCCACAGCCCCATTTGAATCAAACATTAAGCGCATAAAAATAGATCAAATAAATTTGTTGACTAAATTCTCCTTGTCAATGCCACTGGAAATGTTTTAGAACAGTATGGAGAATATGCATGAGGAAGTTAGGCTGTTAGGGGTCAAGCATTCAGAGTTGCTCGTTTCACTTTCATATCGAAGCCTATAGACAAGACCATTCTCTCTTTCTCCATGAAAATAAGACTCGACTAGGTTCAAATACATGAGTTTACTATGTCCTCTTTTCAGTTTTTATTTAGCTGGAAATGTATTTGTTATTCTCTCGGTTTATTAAAAGAAACCTCTCAATTCGGAATTTCACAGTGCGCTTTGTCACCCTTTTAGCCTCATCCAGTCTCTTAAAAGAACACGCTTGTGTTATACGGAGAGCAAACCAAAACATTTACTTACTTCCAAGGTCACAGTATCCAGCAGCAACATACAAACAGCCACGTAAAGAATTTCTGATTGAAATTCCTTCCAGTATGAGCTTGCGTCCTTTTTTTTCTTCTCCCTGAAAAACAAACAACTCTTGTAAATATCCCGGTCCAGTCTACCTTAGTGCGAGTGACACCCCATTAGGAGTGAAGCAAACTCGCCCATTTCCGCCATTGTTGATAAAGTTTCATTAGATTTCCTACAATCTTCGGTACACAAGAGGAACTTGCACACTTCGCCTTGGCGTTAGATTCTCATAAGCCCCACAAAATGGAGAAAATCACAAACAAACAAAAAAAAACTGCACACAGTCCTCTTTTATCGTTACTATGATCTCACCTGCAATACAAAACACACTCCCAGCTTACTAGCGGTGTGCGCATGAGTTTGGGACTTTTGTTCCTCCTCTGGTAGTGTCCTGCGCATGTCATATGCTTCCTGAAACATTGCAAGTGTGACTTGGTTTTCTTCTGGGCTGTCTCTGCTGTGAGCCACGTCACAGAGACGACGGAATCCCAGTGAATTCAAGCTCTCTGCATGCCTCTTCTTGTCGCCGGACGCTTTAGCAATATCACAGCATTTCTGGTACAGCATTGTGCACTCTTTAGGGGGTGTTAGAACTTTTACCACAAAATCCAGTACTTCTGTACCATTAACGACGTCTACAACGAAATATTTATCATCTAAATCGCTGGAGTCTTCTAGACAATTCTTCAGCGCTTCCATGATGTTCGCTTTCTGTTGTCGAAACTTACGGATCGCATCCAAAGCTGAATCTTTGCTAATAAACTCTTCGCTCAAAACTCTCAGCTGATCAAGGTAATGATGGTTAAATTTACGCTGAGTGGTGCGCCACAGGACACCCATGCCTAGTGATTCATTCTCTGTCCGGAAGTAGGCTTGGATCAAAGGATGCATCCTCATCTTTCCATCGGCGTCCTTCTGAAGAAGAGCATACTTGACCATCATGGTCTTCGCTGTTTCACAATGTAAAAGATCTTCAAAAAGAAACTGAACGTCTTGAGGTATGAACTCCGATGGGAAAACAGAGAAAAGGACAAGATTTTCTTTTACCTCATTGGAAAAAGTGTTAAAGAATACTTCCAGCGTGTTATAAACATCCTCCGCACTGATCCTGAAAAGTTGTATGGGATTTTTCACGAGCTGTTGGATTAACACCTCGGGACTAAAACCATTGTTCAGTACGTCAGAACAGGTCACAAGCAGGAGTGGTATCCCACCACATAATTTAGCAAGTTCCTTGGAGTGTTCCTCACTACAGTCATCAACAAGACTCCGAAGCAGTTTAGCAGACGAGTCGAGATTCAAAGGTTTGAGAGGTAACTTACATACGTCTGGCGACACGAATCCAACATGTCTTCGAGTAGTGATTATTAACTTTACATTAGGGGCAGATTTCACGAGCCAGTGAGCGAATTCATCAAATTCCTCGCCTTGTATATTCTCTGTATTGTCTAGGACAATGACGGTCGGGATATTTCGCTCCGAGAGTTTACGCTTCGCAAGAGACATAAAATTAGCGGTTTCCGAATAGGTGCGACTACTCAATCGATCAAGAATCTCACTGCAGATGTTTATGAGCTTCTGATGACTTTCTACTCGAATATGTGTTACAAACTGGTCACCCCTTTGCTTTAACAAGTGACTTACACGGATTCCCACTTCAGTCTTCCCCATTCCTGGCATAGAAAGAAGAACAACCATACGAAAGGTCTGCAGTTTCTTTACGATTTTATCTACGTCCGCGTCTCTTCCAACGAAGTGTGCGGTTAAATACGGAAGATTTCGAGGTAAACCACCCTGCGACGACGGTATACCTAAAATACAAAAAAAAAAAAGGAAAAAGAAAAAGTTTGAACAGATACAAGAACGGTAGCCGACCACAACAGTGTCCCAAAAACAAGTTGAGGATATACCAGTAGAACCTTAAATATAAGACCCCAAATAGGGGCTTTAAAGATTGTGCTAGTGCAATTTTTTGGCATAATAATATACATGACAAAATTACACTAATCCACGCATCTGAGAAGAATGATGTGGCTATCAAAGAGAATAACAAGGGACATTAAACAAAACACAAGGTTATGGAGGTTTTTCAATGTGGGTTTTTTTTTAGCCACGCAGTAACCATATCTGGGAGCTTCTCCAGGCAGAACTCAAGTTTGTAAGTGTCGTGTCAAGACACTTTTGGAGGTCAAGAGCATTTTTAGCAAAATAAATCTTGAACCCCATATTGGGGCAGCTCACTGCCTTGATGAATTGGCTGGGGAATACTATCAAACGCAAGCTTTATACTATCAAATCTAGCTTTATCATGATTGGAGCAGTGTAATCCTATTAAATAAAAGTAACTGTACAATTTGAGAAAGAACTGTGGGAGCTATCAAAGCTTTTTTGAATCATATGGTGCCTGAACTCCCAATTGGAAAGATTCATGAAGAGGCTACTCATGCCTGACTAAGCCTTTAAGAACCACAATGGAATTCAAGAACCTTCCATGTTAAATTAATTTAATGTACTCTTACAAAATGCAAAATAGTCTTACAGGTTAAAGGATACACTTGATTTGCTTGTTGTGTTTTAATATTACGAAAGATATGACAGTGCTTATAGATGCATTGTAATATGACAGAAAAGTAAGTGACCGTGGTATCACAAGTTTTTGTCTGTTAACCAATGTTATCTTCGGTGGATCAATTCCCGAAAAAATCCTTTGTTTTCTGAACTAAACCAACAGTTCGAAGTAGTTAAAGTAGGTAAGATAAAGCTGAAAGATTTCTTTGCATAATAAATTTAGTTTTAGTTTTTTTTGTAATAAATTAGGACTGAGAATACTGGAGAGTTCTCCTTTGTAAGTGGAGGTAAAGGATTACAAAAAGTAGCGCAAACTAGTAATACTTTATCAGCAAGAGGCATAAGTGGTAGTAGCAGATTTTTTATTTATTGCGATCCCAATGTTTCAGTTTCTCGGCGAAAGGTTTCAAAATATTAAATATTGCCATTAGACAAACCAAAGTTCAGGAAATCCCGTGAACAATTTCACGGATTCGTAATTTTTCAGTACAATATTCCTGAAAAGTTTCTGTTTCAACGCTGGTATGTGATTGAGTCCGTTTCGAATTATTTTGTTGTCAGCTCTTAACATCGATTCATTTTTAGCTCATTCATGCGGAAAGCAATGAATGAGGTATCGTGGTGGAGCAGATGTCGACGGAAGTTGTCGACCGTGGACGGAACTTGTGTTCCGTGGACGGAAGTTGCATTGTGGACCGTGAACGGAAGTAGTCTTGCATGCTACCCCTCCCCACTTAGTGAAAGTCAAAATTAATTTCGATGAAGCTCAGAAATTCAAGTGGAACGAAATAAAATATTTATATGGTTTAGTAAAAATAATAACCTCAAATAACATTTCCGAACTTCTGAAAATGCAACTTGAGTCGAGAAGCCGAAATGTTCACACCTAGAGGACCCGTAGCGGGTTCATTTCAACTCACGTTGTGACCACGCGAAAGAGCATCAGAGGTGGCCACAATGGTAAGCCGCACATTTGCGTTCGTCTTCAGTTGGTAGAAAATAATCATTGCTCTATTCCTGTACATTTCCTCGTGAGTTATTCAACAAATATATAGTCCACATATCAATCATAGCGGCCAAGATGGTCTCAATAGAGTTTTCTTCGAGCTCCAATATTTCGGTTCGGACTTGAGGCTCGCTCGAACAGAAACAGCAATACCAATCCGTTCAGCACAAGATGCAGACTGCAGACCGGGTACAAAATGTAGACTAGGTACAAAATGCCGACTGAGATTTTCAAAATTTTTTTTCGTCTGATACGTGATGACATGTCATCTTACAACTCACCGAGCGTCACGCAATCGCTTTTTCGCGATCATCTTTCACGATTATTTGCACTATTGTGGAATATTCCTTGCCCGTTTCTTGATCACAATCGTTCTTACTATAATTTCGAACCTTCATATAGTCTTCTTTCTTTGCGCACGAGTTGTTTTGTGTGATGTCGGTTCAGAATGTACTAACTTATGAATATTTAACTAACTATTGAATATTTAACTAACTATTGAATATTTAACTAACTATTGAATATTTAACTAACTATTGAATATTTAACTAACTATTGAATATTTAACTAACTATTGAATATTTAACTAACTATTGAATATTTAACTAACTATTGAATATTTAACACGCGCAATATTCGATAAACAATTGACAGCTTGCACGTGGCCGTACATTTCATCGTTTTAACCGATATGTGTTCATTTTGTTAACAAAAAATGCGGATAGAGACTAAAACTGTTCCTTCGACTTGTTATATTTTCAACGTTCAGGGGTGTACACACACTGATTTTTCCATGTGTCTTATATACATGAGGCACCAGCGAATTATTATAGGGAAAAGCATTTGTTTACTTTTCTGGTGGTCTTATCTCTCATCTGTTTGGTGATTACGCAAATATTAATATGTGGAAATCAGACCATATGAGGGCTTGAGATTCTATTTAGAGCGATTGTGGCCGGTTTGTTAAAAACAAAAGATATCAAGAAACGGGAAAGGAATATTTCACAATAGTGCAAATGATCGTGAAAGATGAGGGTAACTAATATTTTGCGGCTAAAGCAATATTTGATGCCTGATTATGCCCACCCAGCCTACCCTCCGCCCCACAAACACACACACTCACCAACAAAAAGGACACTGTCTGCCAAACGACCCCTGCCCATAGTACACACAACCTTTCTTCCAATTCCCATCACGACGAACGCACAAGTTTTCTTATAACACAACTGCCCAAAAATGAGAGAATTGATTCCATAAGTCTTCGAAGTTCACATAAACCGAATTCAACTGTACCTATATTCAACAAGTCCAAGAAATCGATACAAACTTAAGCCATAACATGAATGAGCTGGCTCCAAGAGCCCTTTGATTTATTATATCGTCCATTTGTTGGTGGTCAATATCCGTCTGGCAAGAAACAAGGAAATGTCAGCGGGAAAAACTTCTCTGCTGTCTGCGCTCAAATTTCGTTTCCTCCGCTCATAAGACCCTTTTCTGCGTTAACTTGGACTTCTAATGTCTGTATGCTGATTAGATATCATCGAAACCGTCCCCAGAAAGTGTTTTCGCGATTTGTTTAGTCTCGTAGTGTTCGGAGCATATACGCAAGTTCTTGAACTCCTTAAAAGCATGACGACAGAAGTCACTCCATTTCTATTTTAGTCTGTTAACTCGAAAACGTTGAGGTCCAGCCTCTTTTTAGGGGAATATAGATGATATGTGACTAACACAGTCTATAGACTGAAGGATTTTATGCCACTATCTGCGCCGGTATTAAATCTTGCAGTATGTATATATACCTATGTATATATACCGACTGAGTCAAATTACACCGTTAGGTAACGACGTACTGAGAGATTCTCCGCCGTTAGTTCACGACTTAAAATCATACAGTATGTAAATATACCGACGCAGATAGTGGCGTAAAATCGTACAGTCTATAGACTGTGTTAGTCACATATTACGCTGTTATTTAACTACCGCTCTCGGTGCCAAATTCAGCGTCCAAGACTGAAGGATTTTATGCCACCATCTGCGCCGGTATTAAATCTTACAATATGTATTTATACCGACTGAGTCAAATTACGCTGTTAGTTAACGGCTTACCGAGAGATTCTGCGCCGTTAGTTAACGGCTTAAAATCTGACTGCTTGTAGATATACAGACGCAGATAGTGGCGTAAAATGATACAGTCTATAGACTGTGTTAGTCACATATTACGCTGTTATCTAATTACCGCTCTCGGTGCCAAATTCAGCGTCCAAAGTAAGCCGAAGCATGCACGCCGTTTCAAATTTATCAATCTTACTGCCAATCAAACATCACTCCATGCAGCCGCAATTTGCAAATGCAAACTCTTCGACCGTGAAATATACCGCCAATTTTGGCACATTTATCCTTACCATTAATTTTCTCTAACGGGCTCACGGCCAGATCAACTTTGATTTTATCGAAGACCTGACAAGAATTTATCTGATGTCTGTCAAGACGCATTATTCATAAAGGAAAAACAATGGAAGCATCATTCGATTATAAAAAATCCATCTGCACTCGTGTCTTTACCAGAATCTTACCTTGTTCCTCGATTGAAGAGGCTAGCTTACTGCATCCGACGTTTCTGAGTAGCCATACCAAATAGGATACGTCTTCTAGGCTGATTTTATCGTGATGGCGTAAGAAGCTCAAAAACTCGCGTTGGGTTTTGATAGCATCGAGCTTTCCTCGTGGTAAACAATTATTGTTTTTTTGTTCATCACAGAGAAATTTCATTTTCTTCAACTCTTCTTCTGTTATTTTGTCGGCAATCTGTGCCAAGAAATCATTGAACTCTACTGTATTTCGAGCGGTTAGGCTCGAAGCTGCTCTCAGATTCTCAGTGTTTACGAGCGACATGACAACAAGAATGCTGCGACCTTTAAAAAGGGCATTTTTGTGCATTCCCCCCTGAGCGCCTATCTGTATGCAAAATTTAAAGGGGGGTTGAAAATTTTCATTTCCCAAGATGTTTGATTCTTACAGAGACTTGTCCTTAAGCCCTAATGCAAATGATACCACATTGGAAAAATTAAATCTATTGCTTAATTCTCAACATCTTTTGACTTTCTTGATACTGGTCATGGGATCTGCTGGAACTTCTAGTTACTATAACTGTATAGCTTTGACCTAAAGACACCATTCACAACATAATTCCAAGGTATATTAGTCAATGGTGCCTGATAGCTTAAGGAAAGCTGACTTCAAGTGCACCAAGGATCACAATTTCAAAAGTTGTGCGTACTGACATAAATTCAAGTAATCATCATTTTTTTTTGTGGAATAATATACATGGAAAATTACAAATGTGAAGATAACTGTCCTCAATGCGAAGTATGGCTTTTCAGGATGACAACTTTGCACTTGTGTTGCAACTTTACACCCCTGTTACATGAAAACTGCACTAATTTTCAGCCCATGAGACAGGCGTAATTTTTTTCATGTATATTATTCACGAATACATGGCTCATGTAAATTGGTTGTCTTTGAAACATTAACTAGTGCTTGTGAACACCAAATTACACTAGAAACCATATTATTACCTATACAAACTGTCGACATGTATGATAGAAAACAAATTAAAACACAGGCATAAACAAAATACATATAACATAAAAATGTGTCAATTGAAAAAATTTAAAATTGCATTTCTAAACAACCAATCCTAGATAAATACTATACTTCTTCCTTGGTCTTGTAATGACATTATGCTAACATTGTTAACAGTAAGTTCTGTAACTATTATTTTTTCTTTATGTAAGGGTGGGGGGGAGAGATGTTAGACTGATATACAGCATACTATTATTCATATCACATCTCCTCTATTTTTAATTAGAAGACTCAACAGATACTCAATTAAAAAGGCAACAATATTTAGGTTACTAAATTCATGTAATCTTATTCAATTACACAAACAAGTTTCATATTCTACTTTTGTTTACTTAATTTCACTGTAGGAGAAGCATGTGTACGTCTAAGCCTTGCAATGGGAATTTCTCTCCATGCAACATTAGAACTACCAATTGAAACTGAAAATGTTCCAAAAAAAATTGTTTTAAAATATTACATGTATGTCAGCTGAATTTTACACATAATTAGGACTCAGACATGGTTTGATGCTACTCTGGTTTAAAGATTTAATAAATGTAACCGAGAAGTTACACTTCATAGACCCAACGCTTCAACACTCCTGTCTAGTGCCTTCATCAGGAGTAGTCTTTATATGCTGCAACAAGAGGTCCTTTCATATTCTCACTAATCAGCTGCCCTTTTTCTGACAAGGTGTAAATAGGTGTCGGGTAGTAAGCCGCCATCATCACAATTTACACAAGGGTTGGTTGCATAACCATGTGTGGACATTTATTCTCATCCAGATGCCGCCTTTCTTTCCAATCGTAAGTGTTTGTGCATTATTTGAATTCAATAACGTAATTTAACAGTCTGGTTATTTCTTTTTAAGACCAATGAGTGTCTTCTTTTTCCTTTTCTTTTCTTTTTTTTTTTTGTCACAGGACTTATGCGGACGGGAAATGGAAATGATCAGGATAGGTGCATAAATGCCTATTTTGCTCGTAAAAATTTGGAGTCGAAGTTCAACAGCAACAATTATGAACTGTTGCAGGAGATGGATTAAGCTTTTAAAATTATCTTTTTCAGTTCTTAGACATAGTTTTTGTCGAAATTAGAGAATAAATAGTCGAGCATTTGCAACGACGCCTAAAACAACAATTTCTGTCGCACACCTGACAGTTGACCTGCAATTTGCAACCACTGTTATGATTGAAATAATATGATTGTAAAGTAACAAAAATTCTCGCACGGAGCAGTTCGCGCTTCCTTCGTGCTGGCCGAAGCGGCTTATAAATATTACACATCTACAACGGAAAATGGTTGTCTCTTCAGGCGTTGATTTTAACCTAACTATTGCATGAGTATATCATTTGTTGAATTCGTAATAAATTGTATGGAAAGTAAATTAAACTTACCGAGATGGTTTATGCTTTTATAGATAGGACTTTGAACGCTTATCGGGCAAACGCGTCGTTGCTAGCGCTACCAGGATCCTAGAAATTATGGTTCATGGCGCTCCTGAGGGTAATGAAATCATCAAAAGTGGCAAAGTTTCAATTGTTGCTATTCACCTCTGAGCAATGGCCGCGGGATTTGCGCCAAAAATATTGTAATCGTGGCAGGAATAAAAGAGTTTAAAAATCTTCTTCTGCCATGTAATCTCACTGTTTTAGCATATACCAAAACTACTATTCATCTTTAGTGTCGATGTCCAGTGATGGTGGTTAAATTCAACACTAGCCACCTCCATCTGAATAGTCTTTATCTAGCAAATGAAATTCAAATCTCACACATATTCTAACCAATGAAAATCAAGGAAAACCTATCGGGAGTAGGTTCCTCAGGTTCAGTTTGAAGACAAAAAAAATGGATGAAATTAACTTTAGGTTGATACCTGTCCTGACACTAAATATTTTATGGCTAAGTTTCTCTCGTCTAGGAATTAGTACAAATCAGAGTTAACTATGTTTGATTATTCGCACGATTACTTCCTGAATTGTGCTCCATAAACTTCTCAATTTGAAACAAATGAATAGTAGGAAAATGCAATAATTTTCAATCCTTATGGGTTTAGTATGAGCATTGAAAGGTTTTTAAGCAATGACTAGAGTAATTTTCTTTTGAAGTGTAACAAAACGCTTAACGAAGTGTAACAAAACGACATCAGTTGACATAAGTTTTGTATACATGCCTCAGTCTTTTCATCAAGACCCAAGAGTTTTACCTCGAGTTTCGGTTTTGAGAATATGCAATTAACGAGGATTTGATCCTCGTTTCTCCATCACATCACTCCTTTTGCTCATAGTGTTCTTCGTGATCTTGTGTTCGGGGCCCAAAATATCGTTTTGAATTACTAAGGCCTCAACGAGCTCCTCCAAAGCCTTATCAAATTGTCCTTGAAGGACTAAGACATCGCTAAGCTGTACGCACGAACGAGCTGTATCCAGATGATGACCCAATAGCCTCTTTCGTAGCCCTTGAGCTTCCCTGAAGTACATCTCGGCCTGGTCGATGTAACTTCGCTCAGGGCTTCCAGCCGCAAGGGTCTTGTACGAGTCAGCGATGTAGGACAAAATTGAAGCTGTCCAGGGGTGGTCACCAAGTTGCTCTTTGTAAACTGGAAGAGTGTTCTCTTTCCATATGGCGATTGCTTTTTGATGATCACCACTCAGTCGATAAGAAACTAACAAAGTGCGAAAACAAGATATAACTTTTATATAGTTTAATGAATCCTTACCGCGTTTCAAAAGGAAACAACTGGTATGAAGAAAGAGACTGACCTCTTACGAGGGTGATTTGTCAAAGTAAACTTGTTAAGGGTTATTTCTCAAATGGGTTAGAAACATCAGTTTCCTTCTCAAATTAACAAATCCCAACCCATATCACAAATCAGCTCATTGACAGACTAACCAAGGAACATCAACCTTTTTAACCCCAAGGTTCCCAACTTCGATTTCCTTGCAATATCACCTTTTGAATTAAACATTGAGCGCATGAAAAATAAATCAAATGATAGCCAATTAAAGAAGCGAGATCTTGGTTCTTGACTAAATTCTCCTTGTCAATACCATTGGAAATGTTTTAGAACAGTATGGAGAATATGCATGAGGAAGTTAGGCTGTTAGGATAAGGCATTCAGAAATGATTGTTTCACTTTCACGTCGAAGCCTATAGACAACACCATTCCCTCTTTCTCCATGAAAATAAGACTCGACGAGATTCCAGTACATTAGTTTAGTTTTTTCTCTTTTCAGTTCCCATTTAATTGGAAATTTATTTGTTTTTCTCTCGGTTTATTAAAAGAAAGCACCCAGTTCGGAATTTCACAGTGCGCTTTGTCATCCTTTTAGCCTCCATCCAGTCTCCTACAAGGATACGCTTGTGTTATACGGAGTACAAACCAAAACATTTACTTACTTCCAAGGTCACAGTATCCAGCAGCAACATACAAACAGTCACTTAAAGAATTTCTTATTGAAATCCCTTCCTGTATCAACTCTCGTCCTTTTTTTCCTTCTCCCTGCAAAACAAACAACTTATGTAAATATCCCGGTCCAGTCTACCTTAGTGCGAGTGACACCCCATTAGGATTGACACAAACTCGCCCATTTCCGCCATTATTGATAACGTTTCATCAGATTTCCTACAATCTTCGGTACACGATAGGAACTTGCACACTTCGCCTTGGCGTAAGATTCTCATAAGCCCCACAAACAAAAATGAAGGGATGGTACTTAAAAAGGAAGCCATTGAGAAAATTTACCTTAAGAAGGAAGAGATAAGGAGGAAAATCAAAACAAAAAAAAAAAACAGCACACAGTCCTCGTTTATAATTACTAAGATCTCACCTGCAATACAAAACATACTCCGAGCTTACTAGCAGTGTGCGCATGCGTTTGGGACTTTAGTTCCTCCTCTGGTAGTGTCCTGCGCATGTCATATGCTTCCTGAAACTTTGCAAGTGTGACTTGGTTTTCTTCTGGGCTGTCTCTGCTGTGAGACACGTCACAGAGACGACGGAATCCCAGTGAATTCAAGCTCTCTGCATGCCTCTTCTTATCACCGGACGCTTTAGCAATATCACAGCATTTCTGGTACAGCGCTGTGCACTCTTTAGGGGGTGTTAGAACTTTTGCCACAAAATCCAGCACTTCTGTACCGTTAACGACGTCTAAAACGAAGTATTTGTCATCTAAATCGCTAGAGTCTTCGAGACAATTCTTCAGCGCTTCCATGATGTTGGCTTTCTGCTGTCGAAACTTAAGGATCGCAACCAAAGCTGAATCTTTGCTAATAAAATCCTCGCCCAAGACTCTCAGTTGACCAAGGTAATGATGGTTAAATTTACGCTGTGTGGCACGCCACATGTCACCCTTGCCTGGTGATTCATTCTCTGTCCGGAAGTAGGCTTGGACCAGAGGATGCATCCTCATCTTTCCATCGGCGTCCCTCTGAAGAAGAGCATACTTGACCATCCTAGTCTTCACTGTTTCACAGAGTAAAGGATCTTCAAAAAGAAACTGAATGTCTTGAGCTGTGAACTCCGATGGGAAAACAGAAAAAAGGACAAGATTTCCTTTTACCTCGTCGGAAAAATCGGCAAAAAATACTTCCAGCGTGTCATAAACATCTTTCGCACTGACCCTCAAAAGTTGTATGGGATTCTTCACGAGCTGTTGGATTAACAGCTCGCGACTGAAACCATTGTTCAGCACGTCAGAACAGGTCACAAGAAGGAGTGGTATCCCACCACATAATTTAGCAAGTTCCTTGGAGTGTTCATCACTACAGTCATCAACAAGACTCCGAAGCAGTTTAGCAGACGAGTCAGGATCCAAAGGTTCGAGAGGAAACTTACATACGTCTGGCGACACGAATCCAACGTGTCTTCGAGTAGTAATTACCAACTTTACATTCGGGGCAGATTTCACGAGCCATTGAGCGAATTCATCAAACTCCTCGCCCTGTATATTCTCTGTATTGTCTAGGACAATGACAGTTGGGATATTTCGCTCCGATAGTTTACGCTTCACAAGAGACGTAAAATTAGCGGTTTCCGAATAGGTGCGACTACTCAATCGATCAAGAATCTCACTGCAGATGTCTTCGAGCTTCTGATGATGACTTTCTACTCGAATATGTGTTACAAACTGGTCACCCCTCTGCTTTAAGAAGTGACTTACACGGATTCCCACTTCAGTCTTCCCCATTCCTGGGATAGAAAGAAGAACAACCATACGAAAGATCTGCAGTTTCTGTAAGATTTTATCTACGTCCGCGTCTCTTCCAACAAAGTGTGCGGTTAAATACGGAAGATTTCGTGGTAAACCACCCGGCGACGACGGTACACCTAAAATACGAAAGAAAAAAAGTTTAAACAGATACACGAACGGTAGCCGACCACAACAGTGTCCCAAAAACATGCCGAGGATATACCAGTGTAACCATAAATATGAGACCCCAAATAGGCCCTTAAAGATTGTGCTAGTATAATTTTTTGGCATAATAATATGCGTGACAAAATTACTGTGATCCAATGTGGCTATCAAAGAGAATAACAAAGAACATTTAACAAAACATAAGGGTATGGACGTTTTTCAATGTGTTCTTTTTATAGCCACGCAGTAACCATATCTGGGAGCTTCTCCGGACAGAATTCAAGTTTGTAAGTGTTGTGTCAAAACACTTGGAGGTCATGAGCATTTTTAGCAAAAGAAATCTTCCACCCCATGATGGGGAAGCTCACTGCCTTGATGAACTGGCTGGCAAATACTATCAAACGCAAGCTATATTTTATCAAATCTAGCTTTAGCTAGGTTGGAACAGTGTAATCCTATTATTCACACTCTTAAGGGAAATTTATCGTACCTGTAAAATTTGAGAAAGAACTGTGGGAGCAAATGGTGAGGAAGCTAACAAAGCTTTTTTGGATCATATGGTGCCTGAACTCTCAAGTGGAAGGATTCATGAAGGGGTTACTCACGCCTGACTAAGCCTTTAAGAATTCAAGCACCTTCCATGTTAAAATTAATTTAACATACACTTACAAGATACCAAATAGTCCTTATGGCCTGATTACAGAATAGAGGACACACTTAATTTGCTTATTGGGTTTTTAGATTAAGCAAGATATGACAGATGCATTGTAATATGACAGAAGTGTTAGTGACCATGGTATCATAAGTTTTTGTCTGTTAACCAATGTTATCCTATATCAGTTCTTAACATCGATTCATTTTTAATGATATCGTGCATTTGTTGGCGGTTGATGTCCTTCTGACAAGAAACAAGGAAATTTGGTCGGGAAAAATTTCTTTGCTGTCGACGCTCAAATTTTGTTTTCTTCGCTCATTAGATTTTTTCCGTTGACTTGGACTTCTAATACCTGTATGGTGGTCAGATATTGTTGGAAACGTTCTTTCTTCGCGATTTGATTTGTCTCGAAGTGTTCGGAGCATGTACACTGTAAAATGAAGAGAGCCAAATTGACCCCAAAAGCCAAATTGGCCCCAATGTCTTGAGGGCCAGTTTGGACTCTCGAGGTTCGTTTTGGACTATTTAAGCTAAAACGGGTCGGACAGGTACCATTTCGACCCCTCCAAAATCTGAATTGGCCCAAATGAATTCTACTTTGGAACTTTTTCTCAATTTGGCCCTGCCAAGAGCCAAGTAGGATTTACCAATTTGGCCCCAACGAGGTGCAATTTTTGAAATGACTGATAATTGCCCCAAAATTGTCAACAATTTTGGTTACATGGAAGTCCCATCACGACTTGAACGACACCAGGACGTAGGGATTTGGGATGTTATAAGGGCAATAAACCAGTAAAAGTAAATTTTTCGCTCGGTCGAGACCGGCACAATAAACTATCGATTGACTTACTCAACTTAATGCTTTAAATTTTTTAATAAGTAAAATTTTGTCATAAAAGGTGTTTCTCTCCAAAATTCGTCCTTTCTTGTGCTAGTGCGTCTTAGCAGCTCCTTCTGTGTGTCGCATCAGTCGAACCTAGACCGCGTGCGTCGGACACAATAATGAATTATAGCAGCGAATTCATCACTGAAGAGGCTGTTTCCTGGCTACAGTCGCATGGAATGAGACTTAAGTAAGGAAAGGTAAGCAAAACAAATTTCTTAACAACACACTTTATTACAGCTTTACATACACCAACTTGACCGCTCCATTGATCTTTGTTCGTATCTTATCCTACAGAAAAGGACGGTTGCGATGGCCAAGATCTCCTTGCCATCGCCCAAGATGCAGACGTACCAAGGCACTACATCTCTATTATAAAAGAGCGTCTAAAGTTCAAGAAATTGATTGCAATGAAAGCTGAACCTACAGATAACACGAGTTCTTCGTCGGTACGATTATTAATTTTCCCACCAGAGAATTTGACGCATGATTGGTAGCGGTTCCACAACTAAAGTCACGTGATCAAATTTTGGCGCCGAAAGATAAAGACGGTTACAGTTCGAATACTGCGTTTGCAAATGATGGATTTAACTCATTTCAAGATTCTCTGATTTTAGGATCTCTCACTCTGAATTCTTAATCTTTTTCTTGAAAAGATGAACTGATATTTTTGTGTCTGTCTTTGTTTGCATCCACTTAAGCTGATGTTTTTGGCTCTCTCTCTTTCAGCGTGCATAATCAAGTCCTTTGAGTAAGTCGTTTCAAACGTCGATTGATGATTCAGAAAACATCAGCGATTATGAAAATTTAGAGGTGACATCGGCACCGAAAGAGAAGGGTAAATCGCCCAAGGATCTCTGTTTAACGGACGAGGCGACAGAACTGAGCATTGTCTAAGTAAGTTCTTATATATCAAACTTAGCAGGATGGTGAAGACTACATTATAGATTACTTTCTTTCGATTTTATCCCAAAGGAAAACACACAAGCTGCCAGTTCGTCAGTTAAGATGAGAAATCTCGGGGATAGCACCAACAAAAATGGTGAGATTTGCTTTATTTTTATTGAAATATTTTAGATATGTATTTACTTGCACCATGCATAAAACAAAGTTAACCCAATGTTTAAATCTGGTAAATTAAAAAATTAGTGAATTGATAGGAAGTTATCAGACAGTTTAATTTTTTTGAAAACAAATATTTACCTATAGGTTCCTCCTGGATGGCTTTCAAATTCCAACCACAATCGAGGGTAAGAAAATTTTCTTTGTTTTGTTTTTTAAGTCTACAAGCAATCCTTATTAATGCATGCATACTGAACTAAAACTGAAGTGCATAGAGGTATGATTTCTTTTCTTGATAAGTACATATACAGTTTGGTGAAAATACATCATTGATGATCACCATTATTGTGTTTTTCCTTTTTATGCACAGTTTGCTTACATATATTTTGCAACTTTGTAGTTGCAAAATTTTCTGTTCTCCAATAACAAATTAATTCACTCATTTGTTTGTTTTTTTGTACAGTTCTCTGCCTCAGAAGAGTTGGATATCCAGAAGAGATATCTCACCAGCAGCCCAAAGTACTCTGGGCAGCAGTGAATTGCAAAAAAAAAATTGCATAGTATCCTTTTATGGCTAGCAGGATACTAGACTAAGTTGACTTGGAAACTGAATGGACTGGTATGGTTTAAAAATCTATTGCTTTGCCTCTTCTGCTTGCAGTGAAGAGAGACAATTTTGTGGTGCTGAATCTCTTGCCTTAAACTAAAAAGTTGCAAAATAATCACTCTCACCTTTTAAGTCCATAACCTTTGTTCTTTTGTGTTTGCCATCATATATGCATTGAATGAAGTTGTGACCATTTTGGAGGTACGAGTCCAAAAAACTGCTACTTTGGTACTAAGATGAACAGCTAAAATTTCTGAGCCCATTTGCTAATGAAGTCCACATACAAATGTTCAAGTACTTTGTGTTTGTATTTAATTTTGCCTTCTTCTTGTTTAGTGTTACTGCCGTTATGCGTGATGTCACGCACTCATTAGCTAGATCCCGAGAGGCGCTGCGAGTTAAAAAATACATGTGCTCGATCGAAGTGGAGAATCGTTTCAACGCCCGTTTAACGTCATCGTTTATATTATAAGGACACAAACGTAAGTTTTTTTTTGTTTTCGTTTCTTGTTTGTCTAGCCTTTTTCCGTATTTATAGTTGTAAATTTCCTTTGTTTCCTTTTAGTTTTCGAAACCGTACAACGTTCGTTCAAGATTGTAAAGTCCATTTCATAATTACAAGTACGCGTGTTCAAGTTTGTGTTGTCGTACCGTTTTATGCGTGCACATTTCGTTTCGAAAAGTTTGACCCTCATCGCATACTGGTTTATTGGAACTTATCCTACGTTTATTTGCAATGTTGGGCGAACTGTTCGCCACTCATCGCTAATTTGAAGCGACTACCGAAGGATTAATTAGTGCCTAGTCCACCATGAACGATGAACCTGTCGCTGAGGGCGCTGGGCCTGGGTTTCCTCCGAACGAAAGCTGTCCCGATACTCGTGTAAGGAAATTAACTGAAAAGGGTCAAGAAGAGAAATTAAGGCGACTGAAAAACGATCAAACTGCCAAAACGACTGCTGTGACAAAGCAAAGGAATGCTCTCACAAACTTAATGGAAGATGAGAACAATCTTCATTTAGTGAAATCAGAGGTTATTGTATTGAACACATTATTCAAGGAGTATCAAGAAGCACGTGACCTTTATTATTGCCAGTTGACCTCCGAACAGGATCAAGACAGGGAACTTGATCGCTATGAAAGTAAGGAGAAGTCATTTTTGGAATTTAGGAAACAGGTTATGGAATGGATGAATGTAGCAGAACGTCGCTTAACAGAAGAACTTGATCTGCTCTCAGAAGTAAAATCGGCTTCATCCAAATCGTCCCGTGTTAGCACCCGTTCGAAGAAGTCTTCAGCCAGCTCAACGCCATCTGCACGAGCAAAGGAGAAACTTAAGCTAGCGGAATTACAAGCTGAAAAACAAATGCTAGAACGCAAACAAGCTCTACGAGCAGCAGATGAAGCCTTGAAACTGGAAATTGAAATAGCGAAAGCCCAGGCCAGAGAAAGGGTTTATGCCGATTTGGAAAATGATGGTAACCTAGAAAATAAGGATGGTATTGTTCCCTGTCTCCAGCAAAGTGAACCTAAATTCATGGCTTCAACACCTGCCGCTCATCTCAACCCTGCTGCCCCAGAGTTTCACTCAAACAGTCTAGCCGGCGAGATATCGCCTCCGGCTAACAACGGGACCACTGATGTACCACAAG